TTTCAACAAGCTGGCCAGAACTCTAATCCAGAAGTTTCTCTTCTGAGAGAAACTCAAAAGAGAGTTTTGTGTTTGAACTATTTTTAAAAATGGACTTTATTTTTTTAGAAGAGTTTTATCTTCACAGCAAAACATTAAACAGCCCCCACATGTACACAGCCTCCCCTGTTGTCAACATTCCCCAACAGAGTGGTACATCTGTAACATTCAGTGAACCTACACAGGCACATCATTAGCACCCAAAGTCCATAGCTACAGTAACATTCACTTTTGGTGTTGTACACTCTACGGGTGTAGACAAATGTATCATGACATGTGTCCATCATCATAGGATCACGCACACAGAGTAGTTCCAATGCCCTAAAAATCCTCTGTTGTGCACCTACTCACCCGTCCCTCCTCCCCAACCCCTGACAACTGCTGATCTTTCCTAAGTTCTCCTGTCACTCTGTCTGTCACTCAACAGCTCCATGACCTGGCACATTACTGATTCACCCGGGCGCCCGCTTCCTCAAATGCATAATCAGAATGCAGAATGGTTCTTTATTTTCATATGACAATTAAATAAAACAATGTATTAAAACCTTGGTTCAGTCCCTAGCAGAGAATACACATCCAGTAAATGTTAGTTTCCCATTCCTTCCCTCCTCTTAGTAATTGGAAATCAAGTTTTGCTGCGAAAAGGCAGAAGGAAGTGCCCCTGTGACAGGGTGTATCGCCAGAAAATCTAAGCAGAGGACGGGAGAGGTTACTGCCTCCCAAGCTCTCTCTCCAATTTGAGAAGTCTCTCCCTTTCTGCTTCCTGTCAGGAGGGTTGCCATGCATAATATGTCACCCGTCTTCTCAGTCCGCCACCTCTGACCTACATCTGACAAATGCACAGGCGCACTGTGTCTTGAAGCTGTCCAGGAGCCAAAGTGACTCAGAACTGAACTGCATGTGCAGGAAGAGTGTGTCGCCAGGGCACCAGGGGGAATCATGATCCAGGCCTTCCCCTTTTGCAAGTCACATCAAATCTTGTCATTTCCAAGGGAATCACCCTGAAACACATTAAAAGTCTGAGGCTTTATAAAGGTTGCAGGACCATGCACTATTCCTCTTCCTGGCTGTCCTGCTGTGACAGATTTATGAATACAAGGCATTGTCCTTGCATTAAATCCAGACACCAGGCAGGAATAGATGAACAACAGGGCAAGGATTTTTTTTTTCTTTTAAGATTCTATTTTTAAGTAATCTCTACACCTAACATAGGGCTTGAACTCACGACCCGGAGATCAAGAGTTGCATGTTTCAGTGACTGAGCCAGCCAGGCACCCTCACAGGGCAAGGATTCTTTTTTAAACCTACCTGAAAATCTCTTTCTTTTAACCATAGTTAAAATTTTCATCTTTATTGTGATTATTATAGATTTGGACTTTCAAATACCATTTTCTTAAAAATTTACATTTGTCCCTCTTCTTCCATGCCTTTCTCCTTTATTTGATTGAAGGTTGTTTGTTTTCATGCCATTTTAACCTCCTCTAGTAGTTTAGAACTTAAACATTGTATCTCTGCTGGTTTTTCTTGAAATTTTACCATGTTCCTTATAACTTAAAGTATATCCGCCCTCCTGAACAATGTAGAGTTGAGAAAGCTTTAACTGTAATCCTCTCTTAAATATTATTGCCCAGTATTTTGATTTGGAACTTTTTAAGACTTCTCAAATTAAATACTATAAATATTACATATTTATTTTCCAGATCCGTTTGCCATTTTGTTTCCTTTTGCTTCCTTCTTGCATAGAAAACTGTCCTGCAATCTTTTTTTTTTTTTTTTTTTTGCTTCTGGATGCACCACCTTTTTTTTTTTTAATTTTTTTAAATTTTTATTTATTTATGATAGTCACAGAGAGAGAGAGAGGCAGAGACACAGGCAGAGGGAGAAGCAGGCTCCATGCACCGGGAGCCCAATGTGGGATTCGATCCTGGGTCTCCAGGATCGCGCCCTGGGCCAAAGGCAGGCGCCAAACCGCTGCGCCACCCAGGGATCCCTGGATGCACCACCTTTAAAAGTTTCTTTAGTGGAGGTATCTTGGGGGGTAACTCTCTGGGTCTCTGTTTATCTATGACTTTCTCTCACCTTGGTTCTTGAAAGATAGTTTTGCTGGGAACACAAGAAACATCACTAGATTCAGACCCAGTCACGACAAAACCCTTCCCAAGCCCTGTGAAGAGATGAGTTCACTTCCCAAACCAACACGCCAATCTCCTCTTCCTGCAAATCCTCTTGTATCTCCCAGAGCATCTTAACTCTCCCAGCTTTATTGTACCCTTCATTGGAGAACTCAGAGACCTAAAGAATAAGCCAGGGAATATTTGGTGGTGGAATAGCGCTCCAAGAAGGAACATCTGAATTTCTTCTCTCGTCTACATGATAGTCAGTTTCTTCTCATCCTTGGGCAACTTCTTGGTGTCAGGAAGCCTTAGTCTTCCCTCTTTGTTTGGAAGCATCCATCCTGGCCTTCTACGGTCTGATCATCAGGCCCCCAAGTCCACTTCATTCTCTTTCCCTAAGGGCTTCCCAGCCTGATGCAAGTAGAGCACTCCCGCCCCCTCCCTGCCTTCCCATTCTGCCCCCAAATTTCTGGGAGGCAGAACAGGGCTCAAAATAACCTGCAGTACACAAGGACCTATAGCTAGCTCTGACTCCCATGAGCAGGTTTGAAGGGCCAGAACCTTCTAGCCTGGAAAGCTTTTTCATTTCTGCCTCACAGAACATCACCAGCCCCTCAGTCCAGCCCACCTCCCACCAGAATCCACCCCACAGCCAGCATGTGACCTGGGACAATTCTGAGTCACCACCATTCCCTCCACTGCTGCATCAAGTTCCTCTCTCTCAGCTTCTTCACTTGCCCGGGACAATAAGTGAGGACAGCTGCTGGCTCATGGGTGCCTGCTATTAGGATCAGAAAGGGAAGGGCTTGGTATTACCAGCCCCAGCTCAGAGAGTCCCAGGTAAAACAGTGTCCGGGCTTAACTCTGAGTGCTCATCTCTGGGGAGTGTGGGGCCCTGGTTGGCCTTGTTATGTGTCCAGCCCAGCTCCATGGCCTGGGGGTCAACAGAGACATCTGCAGGTAAAAAGTTCACTGGGCAGACCCAAAAGAAAGACCCCCATTCAGTCTTCTCTGGGTTGTACACCAAGACAAACTATTTCTTCCATTCGTTTACACATCCGTCCACCCACTCATCCTCTTACTGAACAATTATTCAGCATCACTGTTTGCCAAGTTAGCACCATATCTGCCGCAGAACAGCATTATCCGAGTCAGCTTCTGCCCTCTTGGGTGGACAGGCCGGTGGGGAGGGAGGGGAAGTTGATGTGTCACCTACCAGATGCAGTATTCAAGTCTAACAAAGCCGGGTCCCTATGCCTGGTGCGCCCCAGGCAAGGAAGGCCTGCCCAGCTGGATGAAAGCGAGATCAAAGAGGAAGTGGTGGGTGGGAACAGGGGCTGATCAGCTTAAAGCAGAATCTAGGCCCCAGAAGCTTCACTTGCCCTGGTAGGGATGCAGTCAGGCTGGCCCAGCTGTGTGTGCGGTTGGGAGTCACAGGCACAGACCCTTCTAGAAGCTGTTTGGAGCTTCCTGGGCATGAGCTGCAAACACACACACACACACACACACACACCCCTCCCCCCCCACCAGCCCCTCATGGCAGGAATGGCCTTGGCAATTTCCTATGGCCTTCTGCTGCCTTGCATTTCTCTCTCTCCTGGGGAGTCTCCTAGGGAGGTAGCTTCTAAGAATCCTTCTCTTGTCCCTGCCCTGTGGACTTCCCCTCACTCATAAAGACTTCACTCTCTCCTAGGGATGTGACCTTGGGCAAGTCAATCACTCTGTGCCTCAGTTTCCCCATTGGTAAGATGGGGACAGTAACAGTACCAACCTCACAGAGGTAGAACGCTTATGACAGTGTTTCCTGCAGTGCCACATGGACCAGATCCCGGGCTGGGGTTACGGCTTGCTCTCTCCTTCATCTTCTCCCTGCATCACTCCGAAGCAGCACTGTCCAGGGACATCCCCGGATCCAGGCTGACCAGTGGCACTGACCTACCACACATGGTGGTAACAGCCAAAGAGAAGCGCACAACTTCACTCCACCCCTGCAGCCCAGAAACAGAGTTTGGCCTGAGCCCTGAAAATGCTAGGGTGCCCCTTGATAAAGCAAGGAGTCCCCACTCTCTCCTGCCTCTCCTGGAAACTCCTGTTTCTGGGGATTCCCTCAAGAAGTGACAAAGCCTCCCTAGGAACACACTGCAATGCCTCAGGCCCTGAGTCCCCCTCCTCAGACCAAGGCTTGCAGCCCAGAGGGGTGGAGGTGGGCGTGAGACACCATAGCCAGGCCCTGGGATTTGGGCTACCGCCAGACTAACCCCCTCTACCTCTGTCTGTGCCTGGGCTGCTGGGGACTGTCGTGAGAGCACTTCCCCATTGGATTTGTCCCCATTGGCTGAGTCAGGGCAGGTCGAGGTTGCAAGCTGGGTGGGTGCTGAGGTTTAAGTTGCCCAGGGTCTCCTTTGAGAAACCCAGTTCCCTGCCTGCTTTGCTACAGAGACTGCACTTCCTGGACTTTGTATTCTTTCTTCCCAAAAGGGAACTTGATAATGGGTCCTGTAGGATTTGGGGTTCTCAGGTCTGAGGCTTGTAGGCAATGTTGTCCTCCGTGCACACACAGAACACCGAACCCCACGTGCACGCACATCCTTCACACCCATGCGTGGCCGTCACTCGCCCTGCCCCCTCCACGGCAGCATGGCAGGAGGCCAGGTTATACCCGGGCTTATCGGCTGCTTCCCAGCTTCCTCTGTCTGCGTTCCTGCAGGCCTAGAGCTCTGGGAGCTGGCATTCCACGTGGCTTCCAGAAGACTTCCCAGATAATGAGAGGAAATGTGGTCATCAGCTCATAGAAGGTTGGGGTTCCGGGCTTCAGCTCCAGGCCACCACTCCCTGACCTGGGTCCACCATCTCTCTCCAGGAGGCCTTCGGCTGTTCCCAGTGAGCCCGTGGACACCACTCAAGATGTCCCCTTTTGGTTGCTGGGGCCTGCCCGCCGCCCTCCTTGCCCTGTTCTGCTGCCCAGGTGAGCTGGTGCCTGCGGTTCCCGACTTGGCACGTGCCAGCCCAGAGGATGGGCCGCCTGCCCCCCGGCTTCGGGCGTGGGGGGGGTGCTGGTCCTGAAGTCACTGAGGTTTGGAATGCAGCGGCAGCCTGGGTACAGGGTGCTGTGCCAGCCTGGCTTCCTCGTGATCCTGGACGGGTGGAGGAGGGGGTGGGTCCGGGACGGGAAGCTGGCCTTTTGGACCACAGGTTGAACAGGCCCCACGGCTTCATGGCGTAGGAAGTGGCAGGTTGTGGAGGCTGAATGGTGGGCTGCGTGGGGGCCTGAGGCAGAAGGGGATGCCGGGGTTCAAGGGAAGAGGAGAGACTGTGCCCCTGTTCTCCAGATGCGGCCCAGGGACAGCAGAGGCCCGCAGAGGACATTGCCTTTTGACTGCCGTCAAAGGGAAACCAGATCCTCTTCCAGTGGGTCAGGGGACTGTGAAGAAAAATGCTACCACGCCCTGAGCACTCTGTTTTGGACAACCTGCTGGTGCTTTTCAAGCGCTAGCTCACCACAACCCTGCAGGAAAGGGATTACTAGCCCATTTGACAGACGAAGAAACAGGTTCAGAGAGAGAAAGCACCTGGCCCAGCGTCACACAGCTGGTACGTGGCAAATGCAAATCCAGCTCTACCTGCAAAGCCCCTTTCTTGCCCCTTCGTTATATGCCACTAGCTGGGGGCCAAGGGGGGACATGCCGGCGTGGAGGGAGCACAGGACAGGCCCAGCTGGTTGGCATCAAGGACTTTCCGGCCACCACTGAGTTGGCGGTGGGCTCTGAGGACTCCACCTTTATGCACCAAACACTTCTGAATGTCTGTCACACTAAGCAAAACCTGTAAAACCTGGGCCCTGCCTTCTAGAAGCTGTAAAACATCTAAGGGAGAGTCGGCATGAATATAAATCATTTGCAAGGTGGGCCCGTTACCTTCTTGCACTCCTCTCCCCTGCCTTCCTCCTCACTGAGCTCTAGCCATGCCGATCTTGCTGTTCCCGGAGCACACCAAGCATGCTCTTGACCCCAGGGTCTTAATGCCAGGAACACTCCCCTCTTCCCAGATATCTGCAGGGCTCATGCCTACCTTCTCCATGGCTTTGCTCAAATGTCCAAGTCTTGGTGAGGCCCGTGCTGACCACCCTGTTAAAATGGCAACTCCACCCCATTCCTGGTTCCTTCCCCAGGTGCTGATCACCAGCTGACAGGCTGGCTATTTCACTTGGTGATTATTGTCTATCTCCTTCATGTTAACGTGAGCTCTGTAAGGACAGGGCTCGGTCTGTGTTGTTCACTACTGTGTCACCAGAGCCTAGACTAGTGCCTGGCATGCAGCAGGTGTTCAAAAAGTATTTGCAAAAAAAAAAGAAAGGAGAGAGGAAAGGGTTGAGACCAGGGCCACAGGGGCCCAGAGGACACAGTCCACCTCCACCTTGGAGAGGCCTTCATGGAGGAGGGGACATTTGGGCTGGGCTTTGAAGGTCGAATAGGATCCCTCTCCACGGAGACGGAAGATGTGCATGGAGAAGACTAATCTGAAAGTGAGGGGCTGGAAGAAGGCAGGGAGACAGTTGTGGGGTAGCCTCCTTGGTCTAGACACGAGGCAATAAATAAAGCCTGAACAAGGGGCGAGTAGCAGAGAGGCCACCTCTGGCCTTTCTTCTTGGGTAACTGCCCCTTGATCCCACTGCCAGTGGTGGGCCGGTAAACTGGATAGGGCAGCAGAGACATTTGCTGCCCAGTCTTTCTGGTCTTCCAGGGTCTGGTGAGGTGTTCAAGGTACACACGTATCCAGAGCAGCTGGTGGTGAAGACCGGAGAGTCTCAGCTCATCAACTGCAGTACCAGCTGTGTCCAGCCTGAGGCCGGGGGTCTGGAGACCATCCTAGCCAAGACTCTGAAGAAGTCCGGAACTCAGTGGATGGAGTACTTGGTCTCCAACATCTCGCAAGACACAATCATCTACTGCTACTTCACCTGCTTCGGGGAGCAGAGGCTGACGAGTCTCAACGTCAGCGTGTTCTGTGAGTGCCACACTGCAGGGCCCTCTTCCCCAGGGCAGAGCCTGTAGCTACTGACTGTGTGCAGAGCTCCTCTGTTACTGCCCCTGGGCATTTGCTATGGCTCCCACCTCCCTGGGCTCCTGGGGTGACGAGGAGCAGGACCCCGGTCGTGGGCTCAGAATCTGCTCACACCCTTCATTGGCCTGCCGGTGACCCCAGCTCTGAGGCTTGCTCAGAGGACAATCCGAGCAAGGTTTGCACAGACTTCAAAGTCATTTCCCAGGCACTGCTCAGAGTCTCCTCCCCGCTCGGTGGCAGCCCCATCACCAGACACTCCTCAACCCACAACAAAGAGCAAGGTGCCAACAGAAGGGTTGGCTTGCTCTCCAGTCACCTCTCTGCCTCACAGAGAGAAGGATAAGGCATCACCTGGTGCTTTAATGTTCCTTTAAAAAAAAGGGGGAGGGTGTGTTTATTTATCTGAGAAGGGGCAGCGAGCAGAGAGAGGGAGAGAGAACCCAAGCAGACTCAGTGCCGAGCGCAGAGCCAGACGCAGGGCTCAGTTTCACAGGCCTGAGAGCATAACCTGAGCCAAAATTAAGAGTTGGATGCTTAACCCACTGAGCCACCCAGGTGCCCCTGCTTTTATATCCCTGGCAAATGTGCGAACATCACACACACACACACACACACACACACACACACACCCTGCACATGGGCCATGGAAACCTTCCCATAGGGCAGGATTCTCTCAACATCGTGGCACCAGGGATATGGCTTAGGTCCTCCCAATGACCAACATCCGTGGATCAAGTGAATAGAAAAATGTCCTAAATCCAACATATTACCTTGGGGTGATGGGGCAAGGTATTCTAGTTCAGGAGGGAATCCAGGCTGCCACTGAGGTCCTTGTGTAATAGATAAGCGATGGAGGTGGCTATGAACCTGACCCTGGAGAAGCAAGGCAGGTCTGACTCCAGCCCCTACCTCTTAAGTGAAGACCTCACAACTCTTGGCGGAACTCCAGTGAACACTCCCTTCTAAGTTATCCACCTGTTTAATACGGAAATTTATGTCTGATTTCCGGAGGAGACAGATTCAAATTTTTGTTTCTAGTTGGCTGTACAATTTCTGGACCCTTTTCTTTGTAGACAACTGACCACCTCCATTCTTTTTTTTTTTTTTTTTTTTAAGATTTACCTATTTATTTGAGAGAGAGAGAGACCATGAGCCAGAGGGAGGGGCAGAGAGAGAGGGAGAAGCGACTCCCCACTGAGCAGGAAGCCCTATGTGGAGCTCCATCCCAGGACCCTGGGATCATGATCTGAGCAGAAGGCAGGTGCTTAACCGACTGAGCCACCCAGGCACCCCCTGCTTGTCCATTCCAGAAAACATCGTGTTGGTAAAAGCACCACCAGTCAATACATACTATACCCTGGACTGTTTCCTCACTGCTCTCTGTATACTCGCGGGCAGACCAGGCCCCAGACCCCGTCCTCCCCAAATCCAGCCAAGGACTTGAGAACACTATGGTGCCAAGGGATGGGCCAGGCCAGGTGGGGCCTGCAGGGACTGTACCCCAGCTCCTGACCTCACCTCCCTCTTCCTTCCCCGCAGACCCTCCAACGCAAGTGCTGCTGAAGCTGCAGCCCACTTGGGTGGCTGTGGGGAGACCCTTCACCATCAAGTGCCACGTGCCAGCCGTGAAACCCCTTGAGAGCCTCACTCTCATGCTGCTCCGCGGCCAGGAGGTGCTGCACAACCAGACCTTTTGGGGAACGACGGATGGTACCCAGGGAGCCACAGCCACGCACAACATCACGGCTCACAGGGAAGACGGCCTCCACAGCTTCTCCTGCCAGGCCATCCTGGATCTGCGGTCTCTCGGTGGGAACATCATTCACAATGTTTCAGAGCCACAGATGCTCAAGGTCTACGGTGAGGGGGCCCCCCCGGATGGAGGGGGCGGGAGAGGGTGTCCACTTTCAGTTCCTTGGGGGAAGAAAAAGCCTTCAGCACGCCCTCTGCCATCTCAGGGTGCAGGCGCCCAGGGACCCCACACTTAATCCTGAGGGTTCCCTCTTGCTCTCCTTCATCCCGGAAGTTCTCTCCAAGTGCCCGGTTTGGAACCTAACTAGTTGCTTTGCAATTAGTGAACTGTGTGACCTTGACCAAGTCAGCCTCCTCTCGCTGGCCATGGCCCCTCTCTACTTGAAGAGGTTTGGCCCTCAGGTCCCCCAGGAGCTCTGCTGTTCTGTGACTCTTGATGGCCAAGGTGGTCACTGTCCAGAGAGTTTGGTAGGAGCTCACTCAGCATCGCCCAGGGCGGGGTGGGGCTCAGACCATGCCACACCTAGGCCATGGTGTCCAGCAACCATATGCTGGTGCCAGGGGCCGGTGGCAGGGGACTGAGACCATCACAGTCTCACAGAGGGCTGGCTGGTGGCCTGGACCCCAGCCTACCTTTCCTCCAGACACCGCACCATTAGCCATTCAACTCTGCAACATGGGCGGCTGCAAGATGGACGGGGGGCGGGTGGGGGACAGGTGGGCCTCTACTCCCCCTTGGGTCCTAGCATCTAGGACCAGGGGACTTCTAAGACCACTGCCCCCTCCTCCCTCCCCAGAGCCGAGGCCAGACAACCAGATGGTCGTCATCATCTCAGTGGTATCGGTGCTGCTGTTCTTGTTTGTGACATCCATCCTCCTGTGCTTTGTCTTGGGCCAGCACTGGCGCCAGAGGCGGATGGGCATCTACGGGGTACAAGGTGCTTAAGCGGGGCCTAAGTCGGACCTACTGGGCACAGCCTACATGAGTGGCATGGCCACCACCACAGCAGCCACTGGAACTCAGTGTGACTCCTCAGGATTGTGGCCCAGCCCTGGCTGTAGGACTGAAATGAGCAGCAGAGGACTTTGGGGTCATTTCTTTTTCTAGTCTGAATATAAACACCTGGACTTAACCCTGTGCCTCAAATGTCTTCTCCTGGGCTTAAGCTCTGGCCAGGAAGGGCACCCCACCAGACCTGGACTTCTCTCCCCAATGTCTGCAAAGACTCCCTCTATCCCCTTCTTCACAAGAGCCGTCCAGAGCCCCAGCCAGCCCAGGCCCTGGGGCGAGCCCATGCTGACCAGCCCAGGCACCAGACACCCATCCTTGTGGGGCCCCGAGTGACTAATTTCTCCTGAGGGATGGTGGAGGACACAAGCTCTGGCCCAATAGGGCAGAGACTTTCTGTTCCTACTTGGCCTCTGGGACCTCAGGCCACTCATGTTCGGAGCAGGACATGGCTCTGACTTCTTTCTGCCAGAAGAGCCAACTTCCTGGGATGACAGTGGGGCCCAAGGGAACTGGCTCAGTTCTGGGACCCTCTGAGCCAGGCCTCTCCCCCATCACCCTAGGCCTTCAAAGAGCCTTGGACAACAAAAGCAGTCCTCCCCTCACCTCCTGCTCCATCATTAGGTCACCAAGACCCCACAGCCCTGGCCATCTCAGACAGGGGTGAGTGGAGGAGGTCCAGGAAGGGCTCTGATTCCCAGATCACCAAACTGACCCCCCAACACACACCAGTGGTGGCTTCCCAGCCCTGGGTGATGCTTAGAGGGGCTTTTACTCCAGGGCAGAGATCAGGCCAGTTCAAGGTCTCAGTGTGGTGAAGAGGGTTTTGATTCACCCAGGAGAGGGCCTGGCTGTGGTTGGGGGTTGGGGGGAGGGCTGCAGGGCATGGCTGTGGGGTTGCAGGCAATAGGGAGGCACTTGGGGGGCTCCAGGGCTCATTCCAGCTCTGCAGTGATGCTGGTAGGGTCCAGGGCTAGTGTCTGTCCTCATGGTAGGCTCTCGGCACCATAGTAGTCTGGGGAAAGAAAGCACCCTGATCTTGACTCCCTCCTGCATCACCGGCCCCCAAGGAGGAAAGGGGAAGGGACTAGTGATGAGAGGAGCTCCCTCGTCCCCAACATGGCCCATCTGGCCTCCTGACCCAACCCTGACCTGGGCTTGGACCCCACTGCTCACCTACCCTGTGCCTACCTGAAGCCGGGGGTACATCCGCACCCACAGTGCCTGTGGCACTGGGGGGTGGGGGCGGGGGCACGGTTCTCCTGACATGGAGAAAAGAGAAGAAAGATCTCCCCATCAGAAAGTCTCTGGGGTCTCACCCACAAGTATCTCTACCCCACCCCCAGCTCCTGGTGAGCTCTTCCAGCCCAGCCCCAGAGCAAGGCCCTGGCAATGTCTGGATTCCCCAGCCTCACTTACAGACCCCTTGTCCCAGAGGCAGGAGGGCAGTGCTGAATCCTGGACTCATCCTGCAAGTGAGGCTGCTGTGGGGGGAGGGAAAGGAAAGGGACCGGCCAGGGCAGCAGGGGGCCCAGTGTGGGCATTGGGCAGGGCAGGTAGTGGTGGTGGAACACCAAAGGCCCTTCCTCCTGGGCTTGTATCTCCTCCTCCTCCTGTTGACCCTCCAGGTAGACCTGAGGATTGTGGGAAAGGGGGAGGAGAGGTGATACAGGTCCCAGGATCCCTACCCCCACTTCTCTGCTCCCCTAATTTCTCCAGATCAGCATTGAGAAATGGCTTCCCTTTATTGAGCAATCACTACCTGCAAGCCAGGTACTTTGGAGACATTTATTCCTTATTTTGCAGGAGGGAAAAACTGAGGCTTAAAAAGATGGAGCAACTTGTCTAAAGTCACCCTGCTAATAAGTGGCTGAGCAGGGACTGAAAGTATCCAGGTATGACTCCAGAGCTGGATCAGGAGTCCAGTGACAGGCCCCTGGACCCATCTGTGCCCCATCAGGGAGGTGTGGTGCTCACCCCAGGGACCCCCTAAGGGCCAGGGCGTGAGGAGTGGCAGCAGCTCTCGCCAGCCTGGATGGTGGACACTACCTGGCCTCCTCCAAGCCTCAAAACCACCCCTGGATTTTGAGGGCTGGTTCTAAGGTCACCTGCTCCTCCAAGGACCTGCTCTTCATTCCCCAATGAATGTGCACTCATGCCATGTACCTGTCCCTGTGCCAGTCAGGCCAAAGTTGCCTTGTATTCATAGTCATTCATTTATTTTTTCACTTGTTCAACAAATATGACTTGAGCCCCTAGTAAGTATCCAGCACCCTGCAGACTCAGGGAACCATGGTGCCCATCGTCCTGGGCCTGCTGTCTAGTAGGGGATGCACTGCAGGGAGACCTCCTTGAAAACAAGACCTGAGTGGTCTGGATTTGGGGACTCCCACCTCCACTGAGGCTGCTGGCTTGGAAGCCTGGCACATAAGAGATGCCAAAGAGACCCAGCCAGGCCTGTGGCACTGTTGCCTGGTTCTTTTTCTCCAGGATCCGCCTCAGATGGATCCCCACCCTGGCACCTGCAGGTGGGTGGCCCTGGTGGCGCAGCTCCACCGCACCCAAGCCCACGCACCTGCTGGTGGGAAGAGGCTGGCCCTGGGTTGACGGCTGCTGCCACCAGGCTACTCAGCAGCAGCTGGTGCATCTGTGCGTTATGCAGCAGCATCAGTTCCAGCAGGTCTAGGGCGGGGGAGTCAGCAGGCCCACGCCCAGCCTCCCACTGCCCACCGCCCAGATCCCAGGCCCTCCCCAACCCACGGCCCCCCCCCCCAAGCCCCAGACAGGGAAGGCGCGGGAGTGCGGTGCAGCGAGGATGCCCAGAGAATGTGCGAAGCAGACTGGGGTGCAAGGCGCCTGAGCCCGGAGTCTCACCTTCCTTCACTCTGCCCGGCTGCGGGCGCGGGCGCGGGGGCGGGGCGTCCCAGGCGACGGGCTGCAGGACGGTCACCCAGGGCTGGGAGGGCGGGAGACGGCCGGGGGGCGGCCAGGATGGGGACCCACCCCTCCCCACCTCCCGCCCGCCCGCTGGGGCCGCCTGCTCCTTGCCGCCCCCCACGGCCCCCGGGTTCCCTGTGTCTCCTCCCCTCCCCTACGTTTGGGGTCGCTCTCCGCAACCACCCCACTTCCTCCGGGGACCGCGGCTCCCCGTCGGCCTCCCCGGGAGGAGCCGGCTCAGCCCTACCGTCCCGGCTGCACCCTGCGGTGGGGGCTGACCCCAGCACCCTCCGGGGCCCGAGGCCATGCGGGCTCCTGCCGGTCCGGGTTACCTAGGCGACGAGAGCGACGCCAAAAAAAAACCCACAAAAATCTCCTCCCACGCATGCGCAGGTCCCTCCCGGCGGGGTGCTCCGGGCTTGCTCTGCTCTCCCCAGCCCCGCGGACCCGGGGGGGGGGGGGGGGGGCGGGGGGGTCGGGGTCCCAGGCGACTCCCTCCCCAGGGGCCGGTCCCTCTGCGGGAGGCCCACCTCCAGGCCCCCCGAGCCGCCGGCTCCCTGGCTGCCCCTCCCTGTACCTCCCACCCTGGCGCACCTCCAGTACCCAGCTTGGGGCGAGGGGGCTCATGTTTGTTGAGTGAATGAGTGAGGGGCTGGCAAGACCCGCCCCAATGCAAACACTTGGTTTCCAGGTCCCAGAATTGGCTAGGATGATTAGTTAAGCAGGAGTAGAAAATTCTGTAAGAGCAGGACTGGCCGGGGAGGGCAGGTAAATGAGGAGGGCGGAGGGTATGTTCTGTGGGTCACTCTGAATCAGAGGGGTGTCCTTTGGGGCAGGAGTGGTTTCTGAGCAGACCAAGGACAGAAGCACTAACCAAGTTCACAGAAAAGGCTCCGCCCTGGATAGAAAGGGGTAGCTGGCCCCTCAACTCCATGCCCCCGGTACCCCACCCTCGTGGCTGTTTGTTCCCTCATTCCTGGCTGCAGCCTTGCAGAGGTGGAGAAGCCTGGGGAGTTCACCACCAGTGCCCCTAGTATTGTCTCACATCCTGGAAAAATTACCAAAGCCAGCATTCTTTCGACAGGAAGTTATCAAGGTCTTCTTTGCTTCAGAACAGGTGAGGGGAGAGATCTATTTCGGCAGCTGTGACCATCCTAAGATAGGCCCTGAGCAGCAGTCAAGGAAAATCCAGACAGGAAGCTGGGATTAGCACCCCAGGAGTTGCCCTTCCCCCACCCTCTACTTCTGTTCAACTCCTCTTCCTGGCAGTCCTGCTGTCTAGAACCACAAAGATCATTTCCACCTCCTCCTTTGTGCCTTTTGTCCCTGGGAGGGGGCCTATGGGCAGAGCATTAGCTGTGAGTCTTAGAGCTTCAATGGCCATCAACAACCTGACATCAGGCAATGTGGTGGCAAGCCCTGGGGGGGAGTGGGATGGGCACAGAGGTCCCCTTTTCCAGCTGCACCTTCATTGCAGTGAGAGGGGAGAAGCCAAACTTTGTGTTTCCCATCAGCAAAACTTTGACCAAGGAGGTGCCTGTGTGCGCAAGGCAACCTGAATACTGGAGACACAGTGGTGTATTCTTGCTGGTCCCAGCATTGTTGGGAAGTGAAAAAGTACCATGGGAAGAGAGCAAAAATACAAGGCAATGCAAAGTCCCCTGTGGGTGAGGCCTAGAAGAAGGGGTCATAAAAAGAGAGGAATTGATCACTGAGGGATAGAGTTCTGAAGTGGAGGACCTTGGGAATGGGGCCAAAGCAGTGTGAGAGAGAGAGAGGGCAGCCCAGGCTGTGCCCCAGCCTGAGCAAAGGCACAGGTGCAGGAACGGATCATGCCCTAATGATCCAGTGGTCACACCGTCTGATTGTAGTGGAGGATCTGGACGGAGAGAAGTTCCAGCAGCCCAGGCCAACCCAGGTCATGGAATTTAGGTTGTGCCATGTGGGTGATGGAGAGCTCTCGGTAAGTCCTGAGCAGGAGAGAAATAGAGGGGTGATGGGTGCACAGCCATCTTTTAGGAAGATTCATCTTGTTGCTCACATCTTTGTGCATGTCAACCAGAATTAGGAAGAGCAAATGTGTGATGGGGATGTATCCTCCCCATGGTATACAGTTGGTTCCTGCACACACAGTGTCTCCATCTGGGGACATCTTCTGGCCACAGGTAAGGCAGGCCAGAAGTCATCCCAGAAGCAACCCTGACACATTACAGGACAGCCGTTGATGGTAGAGCCTGCTGGCCTCAGTGGGCCAACTCTGGGAGAACCCTCCCCCAAAGTCTCTCAACAGTCCCATGTGTGTCCCAGTTGTCCCAGTAATGACCTACTCACCAATCAAATACACAATTTCCTGGGTTTTTCCTTTCTCTGTCTTTTCTCTATTCCTTCACAGGGCTTCCTGGGATCTCCTTCCAAATAAACTACTTGCTCCCCGATCCTTGCCTCAGGCTCTGCTTTTGGGGGAATCCAAACTAAGACTGGCCTCCCATTTTTTCTGTGTCTGCCTCCACGCTGCTGAAAACTCCTGGAAAAACCAATTCTAGTAGCTCTGTGAGAAACTTGTATTCAGCGAAGTAAAATACCAAAATAGACACTGAAGTAAATTCCTCTGGAGGGCACCTGGTGGCTCAGTGGTTGAGTGTCTCTGCCTTTGGCTCAGGTCATGATCTGGGGGTTCTGGGATCTAGTCCTGCATCAGGCTCCCTGCGGAGAGCCTGCTTCTCCCTCTGCCTATGTCTCTGCCTCTTTCTGTGTGTCTCTCATTAATAAATAAATTTTAAAAAGAAAAAGAAAATTCATCTGAGAATATAACGGTCAATGGATTAAACTGAGGCAAAGCTGGAGGCAGGGAGGCCAGTGGGAGGCCACCACCCTCATCCCTCTAAAAGAAGCACGTTGGAGGTCACTGTGGAAAACAGGCAGGAATTGGTGATTACTTCAGCACCTCAGATATAAGATCACATGATAACCCCACGTGTAGTTTGGAAGGCCGGGCTGAGGTAGAAACTATCTGGCTTCTGCAAGTAGAGTTCTTTGTCAAAGGAAATGAAAGCATTTGCCATTTGAAGAGAATGGAAAAACCGCATGTGCTTATCTACCAGAGCACCTTTGCTTATAAAAGATCTAACATCAGTCCAGCAGTGGAAGAGGTGACTTTCTGGCTACTTGGCTGGCCCACTATTAGTTTCTTTGGCGTGTTGACATTCTACATGTTTCCTTTCATTTTGTCTCCATGAGGACTCTTGTTTGCATCTTGTTTGTTGTTGTTGTTGTTTTATGGGTTTTGTTTGTTGGTTGGTTTGTTTCTTAGCATCCCACAGCGACATGTACCAAAAGTCCTCCCTGTTGCCTCGGTAAATCTGGTTCGGGGAATAAATAAATGGAAAGAGATTTCTACTCAAATGTGTTCGTCACAGTGCTGGTTTTTAGGGTTGAAAATTGAACACACCCAGTGTCCTCTAACAAAGGAATGGCTGTGTAAATGAAGGCAATTCACTCAAAGGAAGAGTGTGCAGTCATTAAAAAAAAAACACGAAAAATGAGCTCCTTCCTCTCAGTCTCAGATGGAACCGTGGAGAAGAGGGTCTTTTTAAGAACTCAGGTGGGAATTTCAGAGTTTCTTTTTGGTGCAGATGAGGAAGTGCTGAGTAGACACAGGTGATCCTACAACAGGCCCTTTTCTTGGGCCCAGGGCCTAATGAGGCCCTAATTGAAGGCTCTAGTGGCATGACTAACTGGTTATGTGGGGAAGGCCTTGACAATACCATAGTAGAGAAATTCCATTTTTCTGTTCAGAGGCTCTGACTCTGCTTTTTTCTCCAAATATGGCTATCCTTGTGAGGCTGGTATATGTGTGTGCGGTTTGGTCTGACAGCTCCCCGGTGATACTTTGAGGACCTAGAAAACATAGATGGCACCAGTGGGGTGCACTGTGGTGGGAGTCAGTTTCAAGGTCCCAGCCTGCTGGCGTAGAGCTGTGGGGTGGAGTGCAGAGCCCCTCCCCTCCTCGACTCCCTGGAATCAGGGCTCCACCAACTATGGGGGATCACCTGCTGAAGCTCCCAGGAAGTCTCCCTGATGGAATGGCTCAGGGAAAAAAACTGATAGTACAAGCTAGGGGTGAGGGGTGCGGGGTGCAGGGTAGAGGCCAGGACAGAGTACAACAGGCCAGTTCCTGTGAGTCAAGGTGGGATTTTCTGAAAGGTGGTTCTATTCTGCAGAATTCTTTTGTTTGTGGGCAACTGAAACTCACCCTAAACTAGCCTAAGGAAAACAGATGCTTTGGGGCTCATGTGATAGGGAAGTGCAGTGATGGAGCCGCTTTGCAGTTCGCTGCCTCAGGGGTCAAGCAGTGTCTTCAGGTCCCTCTCTCATCTCCCCCACCTGTGTGTGGTGTTCTCCTTCCCTCATCCTACAGACAGGCTCTTCCACTCCGTGGGAAACACACCTCAGTCACCTGCAGCCTTATTTCCGTTACTCTAGACAAACCTAGAGAATCCCGAGAGATTATCTTTCTTTTGTATTGATATACAAATATGCCCAGGAAGGACTATGATTGACACCACTTGTGCCACATAGCCAGCTTTTGAACCAACCACTGTGGCCAGGAGGATTGGCCAGACCCGGGTGACATGGCCATCTCTATGGCCGGGGTGGGGGTTGTAATCATCAGCCACACCAGAATGACATATTTGGAGTAGGAAATGAGCAGTTCCCCAAAGGAAGGAGAAATATTGTCATCAAGAGAGGGAGGCATTCACTTCCTCTTCGGCTGTGGGAAAAAATCATATTTCACATACAGCTTCTGTTTTCCAATCAGCCTTATTCCTAGTCCAAATGACACCTTGTGCAAATTAGAAAAATTAGCTCTGTCCTCTAGACAGTTTGCTACCTTCTGCTAGACAATTATCATCTTAAACACATGGATCTATAATGATTACAAATGTGATTACAAATTACAGTGCCCAGAATTGTGCAGTGTACAACCTAGACAACTGAGTGGCCCTCTCTCACCTGTACAGTTCCCTTACTTAACTTCCCTTCCCTCATTAAAGAAATTCTTACCCCATAGAACTCTAGGCAGCAGGTAGAGACCAAAAGGTTGGAGCCATAAATGGGAATGACAGCTGCCTACCTACTACCCCTCCTCCTGTGCCCACAGACAGGGGGTAGTGTGTATCAAAGGGACAGTAGCCAGCATCGAAGCAAACTAGAGCCACAGCAGGGCCATGAGTGATGACAGGGGGCCCAGGGAACAGCTATGGGGAAACAACTTAGGAAGGAAGAGACAAAACATTTGCTTTTCCTCTAAGTACTAAAAAAAGAGGATCCTTGGGGTACCTGGGGGGCTCAGTGATTGAGCATCTGCCTTTGGCTCAGGTCATGA